ATTAGACTGTGCTGGGCCGTCAGACTACAGGTTTTACCATAACTCTTTACTTCAGTAGGGTTAGGATTATGGTTAGGGTTAGCTAACATCAGTTTGACTTAATGTGTATTGTAAAATCAACCATGAGTTGTGTAAAAGGTGCTTTATAAATAAATAAAATAAAGAAAGATTATATTTTACAAGCACAAATATGAGTTTCTATATTAGTATTGGCCAGTTTGTGTGTGACTTACACCCGATTTATGAGGACATCTGTTTTATGAGAATCAATCATCATGAGATATGTTCTTGATGTTTGACTTGTCTGAAGAATCGGTGTGTGTGTGTGTGTGTTTGACAAAAGCCTGCTTTATGAGGACACTATTATTATGGGGACACAGGGGTTCACTGATATGGAATAACACATTTTAACACAACTCATGGTTGAGCCAAAGTGCTCTACAATACATAAAGTCACACTAAATAGAAAAACAATACAACTATACAATAGATAATTAATACCTAGTAAGAATAAACCCTAACAGAAGTAAAAAAGTAAAAAAAAACCTGTAGTCTGGCGGCCCAGCACAGTCTAATCTGCCCTGCCAGATTCATAATAAACCAAAAATATTTACACAAATATGAGTTCTCTATATCAGTATTGGCCACAATGAGCTACAAGTTATGGGTTATTAGGATCAATTTTAATATTCCATATCAGTGCACCCCTGTGTCCCTATAATAACTAGTGTCCTCATAAAGCAGGCTTTTGTCAAACACACACACACACACACCGATTCTTCAGACAAGTCAAACATCTTATAATGTTGATGTCCTCGTAAAACAGATGTCCTCATAAATCGGTGTAAGTCACACACAAACTGGCCAATACTAATATAGAAAACTCATATTTGTGCTTGTAAAATATAATCTTTCTTTATTTTATTTATTTATAAAGCACATTTTACACAACTCATGGTTGATTTTACAATACACATTAAGTCAAACTGATTAGCTAACCCTAACCATAATCCTAACCCTAACCATAACCCTAACCCTAACTGAAGTAAGTAGAGTTATGGTAAAACCTGTAGTCTGACGGCCCAGCACAGTCTAATGGTGCTTTTCCACTACACAGTAGCAGTTCGGCTCAGCTCGCCTTTGTTTGGTTTTCCACTGTGTAAAGGTTGAACCCGTTCCTGCTTTTAGGTACTTTTTTTGTATCACCTCCAGCAAGGTTCTGAGCGAGCTAAGGCGAGCCGAGGCAATACTAAAATATGACATAAAAACAATAACGACTGCTAATTGGGTTAGGGTTTGGGTTAGGGTTATTCACTGCGTCATCAATGCACACGCCAAATGGAGTATCCAGAATAACCCTGCCATTTTTAAATAGTTTGGCCAGAGATAGTTACTAAACTTACTACTATTAGTACGACTTTCCTTTGAGAAATAGTTAAAAATATTTTTGGTTCATTATGAATCTGGCAGGGCAGATTAGACTGTGCTGGGCCGCCAGACTTCAGGTTTTACCATAACTTTACTTCAGTTAGGGTTAGGATTATGGTTAGGGTTAGCTAACATCAGTTTGACTTAATGTGTATTGTAAAATCAACCATGAGTTGTGTAAAAGGTGCTTTATAAATAAATAAAATAAAGAAAGATTATATTTTACAAGCACAAATATGAGTTTTCTATATTAGTATTGGCCAGTTTGTGTGTGACTTACACCCGATTTATGAGGACATCTGTTTTATGAGGACATCAACATCATGAGATGATGTTCTTGATGTTTGACTTGTCTGAAGAATCGGTGTGTGTGTGTGTGTTTGACAAAAGCCTGCTTTATGAGGACACTAGTTATTATGGGGACACAGGGGTTCACTGATATGGAATAACACATTTTAACACAACTCATGGTTGAGCCAAAGTGCTCTACCATACATAAAGTCACACTAAATAGAAAAACAATACAACTATACAATAGAGGGTATGCGCGTGCCGTGACGTCACCGTCAGCCGGAGTGTCTGCAGTTCCTCACAGTGAGTGGCAAAAAGACTTGAGCGGCTGTATATGTGTTCAGCGTGAATGACACGAAAAACAAAAACAACACACACAAATAAAGTGGGAAAGAGATTTGCGATTGACTGTACAACTAGATTTGACAAAAAATCGCAGGTATATTTTTACAGACTGCTATAGAAAGAGGAGCAAATGGATCGCTGCAATTCACAGAAACAACTGGACTCCAGTCAGCCAAAGGTGGATTTGCAGTTATCATTTTGTGTCAATATGCTGAATTTAGGTGTAAAACCATACCCATATAATTTGTATTGTTATATATATTAACAACTCATCAATTAAATATTTATCATTGCATTTTCTGCATTATTGGATGTTTTTTAGTAAACACTGACCAAAAAAACCTATAAAGTTTTAGGGCTGGACGATATGATGATATATATAGGCTATATATAACACTCATATAAGTGATTAACTGGATTTAGACCTACCAATATTGTATTTATATAAAGCGTTCACAGGCAAATTTGCTTTATGTTTAGGTCTATATTGCTTTTATTTCCCCGGTGTCGAAATCAGGCAAACATAAATGTCAGGCAACACGATTCCTGTCTGCATGTCAATATCCATGGATCACTGGATCTTTCGTAAGTTGTAAGGAACACTATATTGAGTCCAACATTTAGTTGAAATTGCTAAAATTGTTCGTTTTAGTCCCATTTTCGCAGTTCCCCCTATTAAATCCAGTCACGTAGCAGGTCTTTTGCCACTCAGTCGGGCTGAGGGGGTTGTTCCGGCGGGAAAGTCACGTCAATGCATTCCCTCTATAGATAATTAATACCTAGTAAGAAGCTAACCCTAACAGAAGTAAAAAGTAAAAAAAAAATCTGTAGTCTGGGCCTTAAATATTGATTTCTGATAAATTGTTATTGAATGAAATTATTTGGTATTCTTGCATATTTTTTAATGATATATACATGATTACAAAATAAACTCAAATCAATATTTCACGTTCACATATTTAGTGGTCAGTAGCTGTGGGACCCTGATCAACCTGTCCATGATTATTTTGCATTATTTACTAGGGGTGTAACGGTTCACAAAATGCACGGTTCGATATGATACAGTGGTGACACGGTTCGGTATGTTTTCGATACAGCAAAAAGAATGAAATGCCAGAGAAATTTCCTTGATTTTCAAATTTGTATTCATTTATTAAAACTAACATCATAAAGTATCTTTTTTTAATTTGAACAATGATGGAGCTATACTTGACTCTTCTTAGCAGCATATAAAGCAAAAACTTGTAAAAAAAAGTTTTTCAGTAGCATATAAAGCTCATTGTAAAGAAAATTAAATGTAATATTGTAGTAGTTACGAATAGGGATAACAAAGGTTATTTTATTTGGTCCAAACCCGTAACGGTTCGTTAAGCACAAATGAGTTGCGCAGTTTCGTTCCGCTTTCATCACGTTTGCATCAGTTGGGCAGTGTTGTGGTGGTCGCGCCAGTGCAAATACTAACATAATTTTGGTTGGCAGGAAAAATGGTCCATCAAATCATTTGTTTGAAATACATACCAAACTGAAAGCCTCGTACCAAACGGTTCAACGGTTCAATACGAATACGTGTACCGTTAAACCCCTATTATTTACTGGCTATATATTATGCCTTAGACACATTTGAGATTTTTGGGGTTTAACAATGTTTTATAACTCTTAGAGGAAGTGTTTATGTAAAGTTTCTTCTTATTTTCAGATGAGCCATTTGAAAACTCACATGGCTGAAGTTGGGGTGATCTCGGGAGGCGATACCTTCAGACTGACGGCAGGAGGTCTGTACTCTATCACAGCTTCAATTGGTCATGGACCGCCCAAGTTGACGTTTGACTGACTGACATGCAAGGTAACCAATGACCGTTTTGTTCCATGTCATGTTTAGGGGTGTGCAAATGTAACATCGATGTGCCTACAATAACAGACGGCGTGAATCTAAATTCTTCAAGAACGTGCAGGTTTACTGCAACAGTAGAGCTGCGAACCTCACATAGTTTTGAAAATCCAGCAATTAGTTAATCTTGGTAAGCACTCATTGTCACAGTTGTAAACACGATGGCATTCTTCTTCCATGATGGGGTTCCATCACAGGGCTCCAGACTGCAAACAAGCACGCATTTTGCGACCAAAATTTGAAAGTGTGCGACTGAATTTTACATCCAGTCGCACATGTGCGACCAGTAAATTTGCCACACGTTAAACGCATGGTAAAGCGTCAATGAATCCGTGACAAGAATAGCGCGCGTAAACGTCTGTGGGAAGGAGACGGAGACAAATATCACAACCTGATGTGCGTCTGAGCAATCAGCGATCTATCGACTCGTTAGTCGTTACCTAGCAGCGAATGTAAACAAAATGAAAGTGGAACGAAAATACGCCACTCATAGCTATGATTAGGACTGTGGAGCTGCAGCAGCGATCCGAACCATTGACAAAATAAAGCCCCGAACTTGCCAGTCGCGGGTCGATCTTGCTCACGCAACACTGTTACTAGATCCAGTAAAGAAATCCATTGAATTCGCCTCAGAATTAATAACATCAACACCACGAGATCCAGTGAGAAACACTCCGATTCGGCGCAGAGTTCTGTTATAAACCATATCAGATCAAACAGCGCTGACGTGGAAACCAGGAGAAACACTTGACGTTAGGCTTTCAGTCCACAAATCAGCCTATCAGAACCATGCATTTAGGCTAATGTAGTAAGTTAATTCTAACCATAAATATGATAATGTGTAAGAAATAATCAAATGCTTACAAGTAGCCTACTACACATCTTTTCCCAGCACTTCAATAATATCATATTTGTATTTTTTATGTGATTACCAACACATTTTTTGTTCATCCTTTAAAGATTGTCCTAAAACGAAAAATTAAGATGTTGGAAAACTCTTATTTAAACACAAAAAATAATAATAGGCTACCATTGTAAACAGGATGTTTATTGGCTATTTTCACTCCATAATCCATATACATATTTCACTACTTTTATTAATTAATATTAAGACATTATAAATGATAGTAACTAAAGTTAATTTCATCTACTTTCATCTACACCCTAAATTAAGCTTAGTGATTTATTGTCAGCCTCCGTGCTACCACATTTTTATTTATTTTATTTTTTTGTAGAACTCGCTGTGAGTTCTCATTTGAGGTGATGCTGCCCTCAACTTTGAGTCTGGAGCCCTGTGAACTTAAAATAAAACAGCATATCATAATGTCAAGTCTATTTATTATTAAAGAATTTGTCAGTATTACAGTTATTTTGGGGGAAATTTGAATAATTGCATTGCAAGCTGATTTAAGGTGTGCCCCTAAATTTTCTGCTTGCGCTCCTAAAATTTTCAGTCAGGGGCAACAGCGCTCCTAGTAAAAAAAGTTAGTCTGGAGCCCTGCATCAAGGTCGGTCCGAAATCTTGGAGTAATCTTTGATGACCAGCTGACCTTCTCAGACCATATTACAAAGATAGCTCAATCATGCAGGTTTGCACTGCATAACATCAGGAAGATCAGACCTTTCCTAACTGAGCAAGCAACATGGCATCTTGTCCAGGCCCTGGTCATCTCTAGGCTTGACTACTGCAATGTTCTTCTGGCTGGACTTCCATCATGTGCAACTAAACCTCTACAAATGATCATCTCTCTGCACTGGCTGTCACTCGCTACTCGCATCAAGTTCAAGGCGTTGACTCTTGCGTGCGTATCGACCACAGGATCAGCTCCCTTCACTCGCTCACGAGTCTACATCCCTCCCTACCAGAAGCCTACGATCGATCAATGAGCGACGGCTCGTGGTACCATCACAAAGAGCCACAAAATCACTCTCCAGAACATTCTCATTCATGGTTCCAAGCCGGTGGAATGATCTGCACATATTCTTTAAATCCTTACTTGCCTGGTTTATGCTACTCTGAGCAATGTTTGAACTTTGTATTTTGAACACTTCTTGTGTTGTTATTGCCACTTCACAATGAGTTGTTTGATTTAGTCCTCAGTTGTAAGTCGCTTTGGATAAAGGCGTCTGCTAAATGACTAAATGTAAATGTAAAATGCTCATACGGCATTTCAAAAATTAAAAGAGATGGCATCTCAAAGATATGCAGAAATGGCCAAAGCAACACTTGCCAGAATGATTGTTTCTTGATTGATCGCAGATGTGCTGGAGAGGTCTTTAAATTGCTACTCAAAGGCTTTAAAGAAAGGCACAGCACTTGCCACGGGCCAGGCTTGAACAGAAACTCTGCAGCCAAAGGGGGAAGAAAGGTTGCTGTTCTTCTCTCGCCTGATATGGTTGATGCCCTGACACTGCTGGTCAGCAAGAGAAGTGAATGTGGAGTGCTGGACACTAATGAATTCTGGTTTGCCAGAGTCACTACTGAGGCCCTGACTCTCTTAGGGCCTATGCAGGTCAATGTGCAGCTCATAATCCAGAGTTTCTTGGATCAACTCTTCTGTGCAAACACATAGCTACTCTCTCCCAGATCCTAAACCTGAAAAACGATGTAGTGGATCAGGTCACCAACTTGTTGGGACATGATATCCACATCTATCATGACGATTACAGCCCAGAAGCCACTTCTGGGCTGGCTAAAATATCAAAGTTTCTGCTAGCCATGGAAAAGGGCCGCTTTCCTAATATTCAATGTCACATGATGACATTGAGACTGAAGGTCTATCCTAGTGTAGGAGGTTAAGTGGATCTTTTACACTCATAGGGAGGTTTAGGGAAACTGGTGTGTGATTGTGTGTGCATGACTTAAGGTAACTTTACAGTTAAATACCTTTTAAACAGATATCAATGTTTCTCATATTCTTATTTCTCTTTTACTTCAAGATGAGATCAGAATGACTGGATGCCAGTAATCCTGATGAAAGCCATCCTGAGGATGATCATTTCTCCAATGCTTTTGGTATGTCAGCAGTTTGTTTTATTACAGAAATTAGTGACCAATATTGTTATTGTGGTGTCTACCAATAAGCTGATAATTATTTTCATGTTATGGCCAAAAACTGATCAAATTACAGTTGACCATAAGTTTAAAAAGGAGATCTTAACGGACTGATAACTTTAAGTCCTTTTAAATATACTTAACAATAAGGTTCATTAGTAAACTACATTAGTTAACATCAACTAATAATAAACTGCACTTCTACAGCATTTACTAATCTTTGTTAATGTTAATTTTTTAAATTTACTAATGCTTTATTAAAATCTTGTTAACATTAGTTAATGCAAACAATGAACAGCTGTTCAGCGGTTCTTTAATATTAATGTTACACTGTGTCCTAACTACATGCGACGCCGCGACATGCGATAAAAGGTATCTTTTCCATGTTAATCAGAGTTTTTGCCCTAACCAGACGTGACGGCGACACGCGAAGTTTCTAATTTAGAAACGGTTCCTATTTCTGTGACGTCGCGGCTGACAGATTACACAGATTACAAGAAATTACACTGGTTATGAGTACACACTATTTATTTTTAGTTACAAATAGGTCACTATGCCACAAGCGATAATGGATAATTTACCTCAGATTTTGAAAGCATAATAATATAGCATTCAAAATGAATTCTATGCAAACATACAACTGTACTTCATAACAAAATTAGTCAATGAGTATATTTTGTTAATGTTTTGATTTTTAATAATGTTATTTCTTGATTTGATTGTCCTTACCCATTTCCAATGCGATTACGGGCCAGCAGTGCGCTTTGACAGAGAGACTCCGCCCACACGCTGTTCTGAATGGCTGTGATTTTTGATTGACGTGTGGCGTCTCACAGTCGCGTCACGTCTAGTGTGGACAGACACACTTGCTGTCGCTGGAATTTTATCACGTCGCATGTAGTTAGGACATGGTGTTAAATAATATTATTGATCTCCTGCTTTGACATCATTATATGAGAACTGAACTGAGCTGGACTATGACATCACGGTTTACTCCAGAGCCGCTAAATATTTGAATTTATATGAACTAAATGAATAACTTTTGTTACAACAGAAATAATCCATCACAGAAATTACTAAAGCTGAACTATGACTCTGTTTTCTTCTAGATCTGCTGTACAGCACTCGATGAAAATCACTGTATTTCTGGAAAGCGGCTTTAATAAAATCTGTATATTAAAAAGCGCTATTTAAATAAAGGTGACTTGACAGCAATCTCTTTAATTTGTTTCCAACTATTTTTATTACTATTTATGTTTATGAAATAGTAATAAAATATCTGAAAACAAATTAAAGACATCTATCTAAATGAATTCCATCTCTTTGCATTTTACAGTTGTTGTTGTTGTTGTTGTTGTTTTTCTTTTTACACAAGACAGATTGTAGTGTACCTTGAGATTTATGTAAAATTGTCAGGCCAACAACTAATGTTGACAACAAGCACTAATAAACTCTGCTCCTTGCACAATGTTGTATGTCCTGGTGTGTGTTAAAAGGTCATATGGTCATGTGAATATATCCAACAAATAGCAGGTCCTTGAATGCACTGTTTAAAATTTATAGGTGCATATTTACATCACCATACAAATATTATACTTTTAAGTGTTCTGGTCTGTTGTCAGTATGAGCCACAGGTATGGGGTGTGTTTGCAGTGCACAGACGTGTGCCGAGTCTAATCATGTTCTTATAAATCAGGGACGTCCTGTTAATACACAATGCCTTCACTTTTGTGTATGTGTATAGCCATGTCCCTCTAATACACTGTAATGACTGTCCTTATAATTTAGTTTTGTTTCATGGGCGGGGCTTGTCTATCTAATTATCAATTGTCCCCGTAAGTATGTAAAATGTCAGGTTTGTATATTATAAATTGTGTTCAGTGTATCCAAATTCTGAAGTGAAATCTATGTTGTATGGCACAAATCAGATTTTTTGATACCCATTACATCTCTGTAGAGCAAGTGGAAAGGGGTGTCCCCCTAATACACCAACAGACTGGTTTGGGCTGGAGTGTCCTTGTAATTAACAAAAACCCGTATGTGTGTGTGTGTGTGTGTGTATATATATATATATATATATATATATATATATATATTACACACATAATAAGATTAAGGATAGATTGTGTGTGTGTGTGTATTTATATTTATAAATATTTGTGTAAAAAAAGATACATATATATATATATATATATATACACACACAAAAAAAATAAAATCTATCTTTAATCTTATTATATGTGTAATATATGTGTGTGTTTGTGTAAAAAAAAAATATATATATATATATATATATATATATATATATATATATACACACACAAACACATATAGATAGGTAGATATACACATTTATGGATGGATAGATTTATATATTTGTGTGTGTGTGTGTGTGTGTGAAAAAATATATATTTATATACACACAAACACACATAGATAGATATCCACACATTTATGGATGGATGGATTTTATGGATGGATGGATAGATTTATATATATATATATATATATAGTCAAAACAAGTATAGATAAAACAAGATATATTAAACAAATATATATATATATATACACACAAAGGCTGTATGTATGTTTGTGTGTATATATATATATATATATATATATATATATATGTATATTATTTAATGTTTTTTACACTTCAGGAATGAATCATTTAGTCTTTCAAGCAAATGCCATTAATACCTCTGAAATATGCAGAATATCGATGCATTCATGTCTTATTGTATTTATCAGTGTTAGTGTTGTTTTTGGTTTTGATTTCCAGGTGCCACACCCAAATGTTGTGTTGAAACGACTAAAAAGTTTCCTCTAGAAGTTCTGCTGAAGGTCACGAAATACGACGTCCAGACGGGCCAAGGAGTGTGTGCGATTGATGCCCTCGTGTGAGTTATTTATATTTCATGTCTTCTGAATTCTGAATTTCTGAAGGATCATTCAAGCAGGAGAATAGCCCATGTGTCAATCATAAACCTCCCGTTTCAGATTGCATACCAAATACAAGAGATACTGTGCAGCACCCAAGCTGGAGAGACTTCTGAAAAAGATCCTTTCAAAATCGAGGAACGGTCTTAGAAACGGTTCTGCTGTTTGAATGGGATCAGAGGATATAATGCAACGCATCATAAACATGTGGAAAGATCCTTTACTTTCTTCTGTAACACTTTATTATAAGGTGACAGTTACACATGTTACATGTACTTACTACAGTAATAACAGTAAGTTGCGCATAATTACAAGTATCTAACCATACATGTAGTTAATAATTACTACTAAGTACTTATTTGTGTAATTATACTGTAACAACATCCTTAACAACATCTGTTTGCATGTTTTTCTACATTAGCTTGATGAACTAGGTTAACTTGCATAATAGTTACTAGTCTTGAACACATTTTGTTTAATACTTTATAGCTGCTTTCTTACAACAAAATAAAGATGTTTATATATATATATATATTTCTCATGCTTTCAAATATACTTAGTATTAAGTTACATATATTATGTTTGTAATGCTTTGAGTATGAGAAAGGCACATAAAACTTTTTACCATTAAAAATGGATAAAGCAGATCAACAGCACGTCTTGAGTTATGGTTCAAGTAAAGGGCTGTTAGTGTGATTGATGAAGGTACTTTGATGGGCTTTTTTATTATAGACCTTTGTTTAAATAGAAAAATCCAGTCTTCTGGGTAAAGACAGATATTAAGATATTTACAAACTATATATATATGGAGGTCTTACGGGCTTGGAACGACATGAGGGTGAGTGAGTCATTAATGACATAATGTTCATTTTTGGGTGAACTAACCCTTTAAGGCAACATCATGTATTTAAAATTTATATAAAGTGTTAGTTCTTATTAATGCCATGAGAATTATGTTTCCATCCGTTTTTATTTACTACTGTTAACAATCTTTCTGAAGGTTTTACTCACCTAAAGGATTGTTAGGAACACCAATGCATTTAGGGGTGTGGTCCTGGTCAAGACAATCTCCTGAACTCCAAACTGAATGTCAGAATGGGAAAGAAAGGTGATTTAAGCAGTTTTGAGCGTGGCATGGTTGTTGGTGTCTGAGTATTTCACAATCATTTCTAGGGTTTACAAAGAATGGTGTGAAAAGGGAAAAACATCCAGTATGCGGCAGTCCTGTGGGCCAAAATGCCTTGTTGATGCGAGAGGTCAGAGGAGAATGGGCCAACTGATTCAAGCTGATAGAAGAGCAACTTTGACTGAAATAACCACTCGTTACAACCGAGGTATGCAGCAAAGCATTTGTGAAGCCACAACAAGCGTTTTGCAAGCGCGGTGACGTACAGCGCTGTGGTCATACACAGTGCGCGTGCGCGAGCGATCGGTTGTTTGTGTTTGTAGCTCCGGAGAATTTCTTCACTAATCCTTGATTTTCTTCTTTACCACTTATTTACAAACAAGCACTTTCTATTTTTATATTATGTGAACTTATCCTCGATAGTATTCCTTATAAAAAACAATTGGATTGCTTTGATATCGCTACTTATATCCAACCTTCCTAATCCTGGCTACTAGCCTTTAGCCCGCTAGCATTCCACGCGTGCCCTCTCGCCTATTGATCGTCTCATTTTACACCCGTTTCACTGAATCCTGGTTATTTCCGACATTTCAATCCTAAATTAGTAGTGATAGTTGTAGTATCACTACTAATTACTGATCATCCGTTATAATGGCGAACATATCAGATGCGTGTCTAACATTACCTTTGAGTGCAGGTGAAGACACATTCGAGCTCTTCACGGTGAAGCAGGAGCTGGAATACGTCGAGAAACAGATCCGCGGTCTGCTGGTGAAGCAAGCCGAGCTGTTGGATCGGCGCTCAACGCTTGAAGCATCACGCGCCGACGCTAACAAATCAAATCACTCTTTGACTCCGAGTTCGTCTACTCCGTATGTCACTCTGCCGAGGAAGATGCGATCATCTCAGGCTTCATTCGCTCCGGCACCGAAACAACATGGACCATGGATCACACAGCGGAAGACACGAGCCAGGACCAGAGCTGCCTCTCCGCCCCTCCCGGTCTTCGAGATCTCCAGCCGGAACCGCTTCTCTATGGAATTAATTTTGAGCCAATAAAAATGAACGTAACTTTTCAAGAAACGAATAAAAATATAAATTGAAACTGAATAAAATATCTTTGAAACTGAAAAAGAATGAACCGCAAGCAATTTTTTTTACTTTGTTTTTAATAGACTACATGTTTTGCTAACTATTCCTCATATTTCGTTTACTGATCTACACTTACAAATGCGCTTCCAGAGTTTTCGTTTACGCTTCTGAAGTTTTCGTTTACACTCCCTGAGTTTGCGTTCGCTGTTCTGACACAAATCTCTCGTGGGGGCGGGGCTAGTAGAAGTGTATTCTCATTGGCTACTGAGCTTTTGATTGACAGCTTCTTGACCTGGAAGTGAAGACGTCAGAGTTGTGTTTACACCTGTGGATGTGAGCGTCTGTAAGCGCAGCTTCTCCCCTCTTCGCGAGCCGGAACGCGATGACGCCGTGATCATCATCGGCACATCCATAGTCCGCCATGTCCGCGCTAATTCGGATAAAGGTAAGGTGCGCACTCACTGCTTTCCTGGTGCTCGTGTTCTTGATGTCGCTGCACAGGTTCCCGAGATCCTGAACGGGGACGAGCGCGTCGGAGCTGTTGTGCTGCACGCGGGAGCGAACGACATCAGGCTGCGGCAGACGGAGGTTCTGAAGAAGGACTACAGGAGCCTGATCGAGACGGTACGCAGCACAGCGCCTAAAGCAGCGATCATCGTGTCTGGACCGCTTCCCACGTACAGACAAGGACAGGAAAGGTTCAGTAGACTTTTTGCATTAAATGAATGGTTAATGTCATTGTGTAATGAACAGAGGCTGCACTTTGTAAATAACTGGCATCTGTTTTGGGAAAGACCGAGGCTGTACAGCACAGATGGTCTCCATCCCAGCCGAATCGGAGCGGCTGTGCTATCGGACAACATTTCCAAGACACTACGCACCAGATGACTAATGAGTCAAAGTCCAAATTACAGCCTTTGCGGTCCAAACTTAACTAATAAGCATAGTGTGGAACATTATATAGAAACTGTGTCTATTCCTCGTTTAGTGAAGCCAAACAATAATTCTAGTGTAGGATCTAGCAAAAATCTTATTGTAATTAAACCAGAAAATCGAAATATCAGTGAACAAAAACAATTTCTAAAGCTAGGTCTCCTAAACATTAGATCGCTCACACCTAAGGCGGTTATCGTAAATGAAATGGTCACAGACAATAACTTCGATGTTCTGTGCCTTACTGAAACCTGGCTTAAACCAAATGAGTATTTCGGTCTAAACGAATCTACTCCGCCAGGATACTGTTATAAACATGAGCCTCGTCTGATCGGTCGTGGCGGCGGTGTTGCAACAATCTATAAAGATATTTTTAATATTACTCAGAAAACAGGTCACAGGTTTAATTCATTTGAAGTACTTGTGCTAAATGTTACGCTCTTAGATGTAAGAAGGAAATCCATATTATCTCTAGCCCTGGCTACTGTATATAGACCTCCAGGGCCATATGCTGAATTCCTAAAAGAGTTCGCAGACTTTCTCTCGGATCTATTGGTAAATGTCGATAAAGCAATAATTGCTGGAGATTTTAACATACACGTAGATAATACAAATGATGCTTTAGGGGCTGCGTTTACAGATTTATTAAAGTCCTTTGGGGTCAAACAAAACGTCAGTGGTCCCACTCATCGTCTAAATCATACACTAGATTTAATTATATCACATGGAACCGATCCAACTGATATAGATATTATACCGCAAAGCGATGATGTCACTGATCATTACATGGTGACTTGCATAATACGTACGGCTGAAATATGTCATGTTGCGCCACGTTATAGACCAGGCAGAACAATCCTTCCAACCACTATAGATGGATTTTCAAATAGCTTACCTGATCTATCTAAGCTGCAAAGTGAACCCAAACAAACAGATGAATTAGAGGAAATGACTAGCAGTTTAAGCACCATTCTTACTAGTACATTAGATATTGTTGCGCCAATTAGATTAAAAAAGGTTAGAGAGAAAACTAAAGCACCGTGGTACAACAGTGCTACGCATGCTATCAAGAGAGAAACTCGCAACTTAGAGCGTAAATGGAAACAAACTAATTTAGAGGTCTTTAGAATCGCGTGGAAAGACAGTATGTCACGTTATAAAAAGACACTAAAAACAGCCAGGGCTGAGCATCTCCGCAAACTAATCGAAAATAACCAAAATAATCCAAGGTTTTTATTTAACACCGTGGCTAGACTAACAAATAAACAGACATCACCAGAGCAAAATATACCGTTACAGTTTAGTAGTAATGATTTTATGAATTACTTCAATGCAAAAATAGAAAGCATCCGAAACAAAATTATAAATGTACAATCCGCTATGGTGTCTTATGATTCAGCTTCAATTATGGACCCTCTAGAACAACTAAACCGCTTTACAACGATAGGACAGGAGGAGCTAAATAAACTTATCATTGCATCTAAACCAACAACTTGTTTATTAGATCCAATACCCACTAAACTACTGAAAGAACTATTACCTGTAGTGGAAGAGCCTCTCCTCAATATTATTAACTCGTCTTTATCTTTAGGTCATGTCCCAAAAATATACAAGCTGGCTGTAATAAAACCGCTCATTAAGAAACCGCAATTAGATCCAAATAACTTGGCAAATTACAGACCCATTTCAAATCTTCCATTTATGTCCAAAATACTTGAAAAAGTAGTGTCCGCTCAATTGTGCTCTTTTTTGCAAGAAAATGATATCTATGAAAAATTCCAGTCAGGATTCAGACCGCATCATAGTACAGAAACTGCGCTAGTTAAAATTACAAATGATTTACTTTTAGCTTCTGACCAAGGCTGTATCTCAATACTAGTCCTACTTGATCTTAGCGCTGCGTTCGACACTATAGATCATATAATACTCTTGGATCGACTACAAAACTTCACCGGTGTCCAGGGACAGGCATTAAGCTGGTTTAGATCGTACTTATCGGACCGTTCTCATTTTGTCTGTTTAAATGGGAAAAAAATCAAAGATAACGTCAGTAGACTATGGAGTACCGCAAGGATCAGTTTTAGGCCCTCTGCTATTCTCAATATATATGCTGCCACTTGGTAATATTATACGAAAACATGGAATTAATTTCCACTGTTACGCTGACGACACTCAATTATATATTTCATCACGACCAGATGAAAACACTAACTCATCTAAAATGACAGAGTGTCTCAAAGATATAAAATGCTGGATGACGCGTAATTTCCTGCTATTAAATTCAGATAAAACGGAGGTATTACTTATTGGTCCAAAAAAACTACTCACAAAACCTCTCACAATACAACTTTAATATAGACGGATGTCCTGTTACTTTATCCACTACAGTAAAAGACCTGGGTGTTATACTAGACCGCAACTTGTCTTTCGAAAATCATATTTCATATGTTACAAGAACAGCCTTTTTCCACCTTAGAAACATTGCTAAGCTACGTAACATGCTATCTAATTCTGATGCAGAAAAATTAGTTCATGCATTCATGACCTCGAGACTAGATTACTGTAATGCTTTATTAGCCGGTTGTCCTGCATCCTCAATAAACAAGCTACAGTTAGTGCAAAATGCAGCTGCTAGAGTTCTTACTAGGTCAAGAAAATATGATCATATAACACCGATTTTATCATCTCTACACTGGTTACCTATTAAGTTCCGCATCAACTACAAAATACTACTACTAACCTATAAAGCCCTAAATGGTTTAGCACATGTACTTAACGGACCTTCTTTCGCCCTACAATCCACCGCGTTCCTTAAGATCACTAAATTCAAGGCTTCTGGTCGTTCTCGCATTTAGCTCCAAAACTCTGGAATAGCCTTCCCGATACGGTCC